GATGGGGGGCTCAGCGGGGGGCGTTGGGATGCAGGGGATGGGATGGGGGTTCAGCGGGGGGCGTTGGGCTGCAGGGGTGGGATGGGGGGTGCAGCGGGGGGCGTTGGGATGCAGGGGACGGATGGGGGGCTCAGCGGGGGGCGTTGGGATGCAGGGGGTGGGATGGGGGTTCAGCGGGGGGCGCAGGGCTGCAGGAGGTGGGCGGGGGCTCCGCAGGGGATGCTGTGCTGCAGGGGTGGGTGGGGTTCAGTGGGAGGCGCTGCCCTGCAGGTGGTGGGTGACTTATTCCCCCCCTTCGTCTCCTGCCAGGGGGTAAATAACAAGAGATGCTACATCGCGACCCAGGGGCCGCTGCCTCACACCGTCCTGGATTTCTGGCGCATGATTTGGGAATACGGGGTGAAGGTGGGTGTAACGCTTCTCGGGGTCCCAGGTCTGGCAGTTGCCCGCTCACCCCCGTAGCTGGGCGCCAGCGCCCTGACACCCCTGGCCTTTCAGCCACCCACGCACACTCCTCTGGGCTGGGCCAGCCCCGTCCTAGATCCTGTACCCCCAAAGATTCAATGTGTGCCCCAAACACCCCTCGCTCCTGATGGGATTTCCTCTGCAAACGGACCCAGAAAGAGGATTTCTCCCACTTCAAATTCTCTTACGCTATCTGTGAACTGCTCCTGCTAAACGATTGGTCCCAGCTTGGCTGACTCCCTGCGTACCTTTCCCGGCCCTGCGGAGCACGAAATCTTCTCTCCTTCACCGGCTGGGGCAGCTTTTCTATCAAATAAGACATAAGTAATAAGACAGGCGTAATTGTACCGTTTAATCCCCTACCAACACAATACATCCTGCACGTGGTTCCGACAGGCGTAATTGTACCGTTTAATCCCCTACAAACACGATACATCCCCGCACGTGGTTCAGACAGGTGTATTGTACCGTTTATTCCACTACAAACACGGTACATCCCCCACATTGTATAGACAGGCGTAATTGTACCGTTTATCCCCCTACAAACACGATACATCCCGCACGTGCTTCATTCTCTAATAAGAATATAACATTAGGGATCTATTATGGACCACCTGACCAGGACGGTGATAGTGATGATGAAATGCTAAGGGAAATTAGAGAGGCTATCAAAATTAAGAACTCAATGATAGTGGGGGATTTCAATTATCCCCATATTGACTGGGAACATTTCACTTCAGGACGAAATACAGAGATAAAATTTCTCGATACTTTAACTGACTGCGTCTTGGAGCAGCTGGTACGGGAACCCACAAGGGGAGAGGCAACTCTAGATTTAGTCCTGAGTGGAGCGCAGGAGCTGGTCCAAGAGGTAACTCTAACAGGACCGCTTGGAAATAGTGACCATAATATAATAACACTTAACATCCCTGTGGTGGGAAGAACATCTCAACAGCCCAACACTGCGGCATTGAATTTCAAAAGGGGGAACTATGCAAAACTGAGGGGGTTAGTTAAACAGAAGTTAAAAGGTACAGTGACTAAAGTGAAATCCCTGCGAGCTGCATGGGCGCTTTTTAAGGACACCATAATAGAGGCCCAACTTCAATGTAGACCCCAAATTAAGAAACACAGTAAAAGAACTAAAAAAGAGCCACCGTGGCTTAACCACCATGTAAAAGAAGCAGTGGGAGATAAAAAGACTTCCTTTAAAAAGTGGACGTCAAATCCTAGTGAGGCAAATAGAAAGGAGCATAAACACTGCCAAATTAAGTGCAAGAATGTAATAAGAAAAGCCAAAGAGGCGTTTGAAGACCGGCGAGCCAAAAACTCCAAAGATAATAACAAAAGGTTTTTTAAGTACATCAGAAGCAGGAAGCTGCTAAACAACCAGTGGGGCCCCTGGATGATCGAGATACAAAAGGAGCGCTTAAAGATTAGTCATTGCGGAGAAACTAAATGGATTCTTTGCTTCAGTCTTCGCGGCTGAGGATGTGAGGGAGATTCCCAAACCTGAGCCGGCTTTTGTAGGTGACAAATCTGAGGAACTGTCACGGATTGAAGTGTCACGAGAGGAGGTTTTGGAATTAATTGATAAACTCAACATTAACAAGTCACTGGGACCAGATGGCATTCACCCAAGAGTTCTGAAAAAACTCAAATGTGAAATTGCGGAACTATTATCTAGGGTTTGTAACCTGTCCTTTAAATCGGCTTCTGTATCCAATGACTGGAAGTTAGCTAATGTAACGCCGATATTTAAAAAGGGCTCTAGAGGTGATCCCGGCAATTACAGACCGGTAAGTCTAACGTCTGTACTGGGCAAATCAGTCGAAACAATAGTTAAGAATAAAATTGTCCGACACATAGAAAAACATAAACTGTTGAGCAATAGACAACATGGTTTCTGTAAAGGGAAATCGTGTCTTACTAATCTATTAGAATTCTTTGAAGGGGTCAACAAACATGTGGACAAGGGGATCCAGTGGACATAGTGTACTTAGATTTCCAGAAAGCCTTTGACAAGGTCCCTCACCAAAGGCTCTTACGTAAATTAAGTTGTCAAGGGATAAAAGGGAAGGTCCTTTCATGGATTGAGAACTGGTTAAAAGACCGGGAACAAAGGGTAGGAATTAATGGTAAATTCTCAGAATGGAGAGGAGTAACTAGTGGTGTTCCCCAAGGGTCAGTCCTCGGACCGATCCTATTCAACTTATTTATAAATGATCTGGAGAAAGGGGTAAACAGTGAGGTGGCAAAGTTTGCAGATGATACTAAACTGCTCAAGATAGTTAAGACCAAAGCAGACTGTGAAGAACTTCAAAAAGATCTCACAAAACTAAGTGATTGGGCAACAAAATGGCAAATTTAATGTGAATAAATGTAAAGTAATAAATGTAAAAATAACCCCAACTCTACATACAATATGATGGGGGCTAATTTAGCTACAACAAGTCAGGAAAAAGATCTTGGAGTCATTGTGGATCGTTCTCTGAAGATGTCCACGCAGTGTGCAGAGGCGGTCAAAAAACCAAGCAGGATGTTAGGAATCATTAAAAAGGGGATAGAGAATAAGACGGAGAATATCTTATTGCCCTTATATAAATCGATGGTACGCCCACATCTCGAATACTGCGTACAGATGTGGTCTCCTCATCTAAAAAAAGATATACTGGCACGGGAAAAGGTTCAGAAAAGGTCAACTAAAATGGTTAGGGGTTTGGAGAGGGTCCCATATGAGGAGAGATTAAAGAGGCTAGGACTCTTCAGTTTGGAAAAGAGGAGACTAGGGGGAGATATGTTAGAGGTCTATAAAATCATGAGTGATGTGGAGAAAGTGGATAAGGAAAAGTTATTTACCTATTCCCATAATACAAGAACTAGGGGTCACCAAATGAAATTAATAGGCAGCAGGTTTAAAACAAATACAAGGACATTCTTCTTCACACAGCGCCCAGTTAACCTGTGGAACTCCTTGCCTGAGGAGGTTGTGAAGGCTAGGACTATAACAGGGTTTAAAAGAGAACTGGATAAATTCATGGTGGTTAAGTCCATTAATGGCTATTAGCCAGGACGGGTAAGGAATGGTGTCCCTAGCCTCTGTCTGTTAGAGGATGGAGATGGACGGCAGGAGAGAGATCACTTGATCATTGCCTGTTAGGTTCACTCCCTCTGGGGCACCTGGCATTGGCCACTGTCGGTAGACGGGATACTGGGCTAGATGGACCTTTGGTCTGACCCGGTACGGCCGTTCTTATGTTCTTATGTAGACAGGCGTAATTGTACCGTTTATTCCCCTACAAACACGATACATCCCCGCACGTGGTTCAGACAGGCGTAATTTAACAGTTCCTACATGTGCCAGGGTACCCCTTGCAGTTTCAGGCTGTGGTGTGTGCCAACGTGCCCTTTCCACACCTCCGGCGTTGTGATTTGCCCCTCTGGACGGATCCACAGTTTGCAATTTCCACACCACCGCCGGGGATCGGCTCCAGGGACACTCGCGTGGGTGCCGGTTCTCCGTTGCGTGTGGTCCAGCCTGCGGGGAGCGTGGGATCGGTGCCGGCGACCTTTCCTATGGAGAGGCCGGTTTCCCTCCGTAGATCGTCCTTCTGCAAGTTTCATTAGCCACTCACGTTTCTCCGGGGACGTTCTCCAAGCGGATTTCTTGCTGTGCCCACCAATACAGGAAACCGTATCGCAGCTTCTCAGCCTACTTCTGCGGGGTCCGCTCGCATCTCACGTGTGTCCGCAGCTGGCTTCTTCGAGGCCCCGGGTCTGCGTGTCACGGAGCGTGGGCTTGGCGTTGGGCGGAGAAGCAGCACACAGGATTAGGTGTATTTCCAGGATGGGCCAAGGAGTGGAACAGGTCTGTCCCCGATGATTTTCCCGATTGGCTTCAGAGCGCGTCTGTCGCGTCGTTCCTTGTGCAGAACCTGGCGACGGAGCTGGACCGATCTAATGTCCTAGGGTCCTGCCCTTCGTCTTTTCCGGTGGGTCGCAGAATTTGGTGCGGGCGCCGTCACCAGCCGTTCCCCGCACAAAGATATTCAGTGGCTCCTGGCCAAATCTTTCTGCATTCAGCAGCATTTCCTGAACGGACGGGTCGGCGCAGCCAAATCCTATGCCGCGAATACTCGGAAGTGTCGCGAACCGCTTCGTTTTCAGCCACGGGGCGGCGCTGCTTTCCCGCCGGTGGGGCTCCGTGGTTGCAAGCCGTTTGGGGACCAAGCCCAAGGCTGCAGGGGCTCCGTGGTTGCAAGCCGTTTGGGGACCAAGCCCAAGGCTGAACGATTTTCTGGTTTGGGCACGTAGATTACAGGAGAGAGCCTGTCTGCTGAGCGCTGCCAGTTCCTGGCAGACCTACAATTCCTTTGCTTTCCTCGCCACGCTTGGGAGCGCTCCGGAGCCGTACAGCCCTGCCCGGATATACAATTTGTGCAGATATCCACATCCGCAGATGTGGATATTTGTGGATTTGCAGGGCTCGACCTGATCGAATCCTTCAAGTCGGAGCTGGTTCCTTTCTGCTAAGTGCAGAGATCCCCACTGGGCAGAATTTGCATGGTCACATCGGTGAAAGACCAGGACGTGTTCTTCTGATGGTCTCTAGGCCCCAAATTCCATCCCGTTGAGCGCTGGCGAAGTGTAGGACCCGTGCCAGGACCGGGACAGCTGCCCGCGTGGATGCCATCTGCTCCCGGAAACTTGCTGGCGACAGGACAGACGCTAGGTTTGCCGTAATCTCCCGCGGCTTTTGCAAAATCCAAGGGCTTCGCTTTGCGGCGCTTGGCACGGCTCAGAAGCTGCGGGGATAACGCTTGCCACGTGGCCTGCGGGGCGGCCTCATGTGACGAGTGGCTTTATGCATCACTTTCACCAGTAACTGCCCGCGCTCGTTCCTCTCCCTAAAATGCCACTCTCACTTTTAGGAAGCTTGGCGCTATGCGTAGGCCTCCTGGGTGTGGAATCCGGATGGCCTCATCTTTTTGTTCCATCCGAGGCGTCGAGACCGTGTTGAGGCGGACGTGCGAGGCTTTTCACGGCAGAATTCCGCGCCGCCCTTTCATGAGCCGGGGCCTGAACGCCAGGCACGGAGCTGAAGCTCGATCATCACACGCTCCTACAACGTTATCTTCCCTCTCCTTCTCCCAGGACAGTCACAGAAACTGTCCCTCTTCCTCGCCGATGTGTCGCCCAAGACTATCCGAGCATCTCCCGGCTCTGGCTCGTTGATAAATTTCCTTCCCTGGCACGAGCGAGACGAGCTTTTATTGGCCCAACTTCTGCTGGGGAGAGAGACGAGCTTTTGAGCTTACAAAATGAAAACAATCCCATTCTGCTAGCGCTGCACGGCTGGTCCCCAGCGGCACTGTCCCAGAGGTGGCTGCATCTCAGTGCCAGGTGAGCCATCCCTGTGTGGTGTTATGTGCGGCTGTTCCCCAGCCGCCCCACCCCAGAGGTGGCTGCATCTCAGCGCCGGACGAGCCGTCCCACTCCCGGATACCCCTTTGCATAACTGCAGCCTGGGAGCAGAACAGGCCAGGAAAAGGTCAGAAATTTAACTCCCCTGGGTCCTGCTGCCGATTCAAACGGACCAAGATCCGGTGTCTTCTGGGGATGAACGGCTACCCCCAGGCCAGAGAGCCGGGCTCCCAGCTAAATCCGTTCCTCCTGCTTGCCGTGGGGATGAATTTTGAGGAGTTCTGGGCTTTTTGAAACGCCCCCCCCCATGTTACCCTTTGGGGGTAACTACCCTGCAGGACGTGGGCTGGGTGGAGTGAGTCTGTCAGGGCTCATGTGAGAGCTGTTTGCAAAGAACAGGGTGTGTGTGTGGGGGGGGGGTTGTCAAGGGGAGCCAGGACTCCTGGGTTCTCTCCCTGGCTCTAGGAGGGGAGTGGGGAGGGGAGTGGGGTCTGGTGGGTTAGAGCAGGGGTGGCTGGGAGCCAGGACTCCTGGGTTCTCTCCCCAGCTCTGGGAGGGGAGTGGGGTCTATTGGGTTGGGGGGTGGGTGCTGGGAACCAGGACGCCTGGGTTCTCTATTCCAGCCCGGCCAGGTACATGCTCCTTCTCTCATTCTTTTCCTAACTGTTTCGTTCCCTTCCTTCCTTCCAGGTAATTGCCATGGCCTGTCGGGAGGTGGAGATGGGGAAGGTGAGTGTGGGGGCCCATCCGTGCCCACCCCCATCCCCTGGCTGTGGGGGGAGTCTGGGGGGCGACCCCCATGGACTCTCCGTGAACTGACTTTCCCTCCTTAGAAAAAGTGTGAACGCTACTGGCCGCTGAAGCAAGAACCACTGCAGATCGGGCCCTTCTCCATCGTCCAGGTACCAGGGAGGGGTTACAGGGGCAGCCTGGGGGACTCGCCAGGAGAGAGACACAGCTCCCCTTCACTTCCTGTCCCAAACTGCTGCTGGGCAACTCCATCCTGCCCCAGAGGTGGTTGCATCTCCGCTCCAGCTGATCCGTCCCTGTGCAGCGTTATATGCAGCTATTCCTCAGCTGTTCCTCACCTCACCCAGAGGTGGCTGCAGCGGTGCCTCTCTTGGAGACACTAAAGGCGCTTCATAACCCTGCAATGTCGGCACCCCCGAAGCCTCTGTCTGCAGCAGCTTGTCTCTGTCTCTCAGATCCAGGAGCAGGAGCTGAATCCGGACGTGATCATCCGCACGCTGAGCGTCGGCTTCCAGAACGTCAGTGAGCTGCGGGGGCACCATGCGGCGGGCCTAGGGGCTGGGCAGGGGGCGTTCTCCCCCTGGCAGGGCGGGCACTGGGGGGTGCTGTGCTGTGGGGA